GAATAAGCTGAATCCCATGTCGTCATCACTCTCTTCCTTCGGCTCCTCCTGCACAATACGCTTAAGAATGAACAGATATCGAAAGGGGAAAGACAGATAAGATTCATTCCAGGCGACTACCATGTCAACGACGATGGTCATTAAAATTTGCTAGGTACAAACTATGCTGTCAATACAAGTTCAACGAGGGATAGCTATAATCATCTAATGGGTTAATTATGAAAAGGTAAACATTTTAATTAGCATAATTTGACCATTGTATTGTCATGACAAACCAGTATTAGTCATACCAACATACAAAACGTGGGTCAGTTAGAGCTACCAGAGGAGAAGCAGCATATTTGATTAACGGGTTAATACTGATAACCGGAGTTTATAAACGCGTCTATGGAAGGTTCCCTACATAATTATTACATCCGAGAGAGTCCATGAACAGTTGAAATGATCGTATGTTGTAAACGTATGAAAGAAACTTATCAAAGATATAGCTAAATTGTAAGAAAGAGTAGAAAAAAGATTCATCAGCATACCTCCTTTTCCTCAACGGCAGGAGCGGCAGCAGACGCAGCACCACCAGCAGGAGCAGCTACAGACACAGCAGCCGCAGCGCCGCCCCCACAGCCAACGTTCAGAAGAAGGTCCCCAATATCCCTCTTCTCCGCCAACTTAGCAAACAGGCTAGGCCAGTAGGATTCCACACAGAGCCCTGCAGCTGCCACTACGGCTGCAATCTTGTCCGCCTAGATTCAAAAAAAAATAAAAAAATAAATAAAAATACTCGGACTAATAAGGCATCGATCATTCAAAAAAAAGAAAAATGAGAGAGAGATAAAGAAAGTGGTTGGTACAGTGATTGCAATTCCATCATCGTGAAGAGCCAGGGCGGCGTAGGCACAAACAAGCTCACTGGTAGACATGGTTAGCGTAGCGCTTGATATGCAACGAGGACCTATAAATTAAAGAAGCAGAGGTGAGAAAGAAGGCAGTCGGAAACGATTGAGTGAGAAGCGCGAGATTAATAAACGGAGATCTTGGAGGAGCGACATACCGGTAGAGTACTACTCAGAAGCCAAATGCGCGTACGGCGATCGCCACACCCCTCACTGAACTATGCTATATATCGGGGGGAAGGGGAAATAGGGTTTTTGATGCTCCATCGATATCGGACCGCGTTCATCTGACAGAGTTGGGCTTCAGTGGACCAACGTAAATCTATTGGGCCGTTTGTATATTTTGAATTGTTTTGAGTTATAAATTTTCTTAAATAAGTAAATTATAGAAATTAGTAAAAGGATGTTTGGGGATGGAGCTACATTATTACATTATACATAAGAAATAAGGTATTAATTGGGGCTGGGGAGTAATTACGTTTGTGGAATCCTTTTCCACAAAATATGAGCTCTGCTTAGCCATTTTGAGCAATACTGGAGTGGAGGGTGGAGGGTGGAGCCCTGCCTGCCTAAACCAATGCCACAACCTTCCCTCTCCGTCCCCACATCAATCCTTGATGCAAAACTCACATAACAGGCTCCACAAAATTAGATATCACCTTACATTTTTAATTAATTATGCTTAAACGCTAATATCTTCCCTAATCAATCACACTAATATCTTCCATTTTTATTATATCAATCATCTAACATATATAATCCACATGTTTATTAGTCACCATTCAAGCTCAAAATTATTTTTTGGACATATAATATAACGAATGACAAAAAAATACAAGATATTTTTCCTCCAAAAATAAAAAATATTGGCAAATAAAAAAAGAATTTAGGGGGAATTAAAAAAAGATGCGAAATGCGAAGAGAGAAGACAAAATGAAAGAAGAACCAAACTAACCATCTTTCGACGTTTCCTAATAAACAAATCCCAGTAACAAACATGTGCACCCTAACTCATCATTGTCTTGTCCCCAAGTTTTAATAACCTCCACAAAAATTTATTTATAGTCCATTCATTTTTCTTCCCGATCTACCCCCACATCTTTCATTTTTATATTATTCCCATTTTTTTAAATATATATTCAATTTCTTTTATTAGAAATTTGTGTCCCACCCTCCCCCGTACGTTAAATAACATTAAAATTTACTACTTTTCTATATAATTCAATACAAATTAAGATATGGTTTTGCACCACGCAACATTCTATAATTGACCGTGGTTCCACATTTCTTTCCAAACCAAGTCCATGTGGCAATGGTGGGGAGGCGCGTTTTATAAACTATGGAGTATCTCCTAACGAAAATTGATGATATAAATCAAGGTACCTTAATCATATAATATGCACTTCAACGAAGATGGAAAAAAATGTTGTTGATATTACTTAATACAAACGTTTGTTTTAATAAAATGGAAAAAATTGAAGTTTTGATTTACTAAATGAAGTTTGATTTTTGTGAACTACTGAAAATAAAGTTGTAAAAAGTCAACTACTAAATTAACATAATAATAAAAACACGTGGACTGAAAACATAATTGAAGTTGAATTTTTGTGAATATACTTTGCCTCCACTAGAAGCTTCTCGGATGCCACATTTGCGGACCCCACTCCTAATACCTACAAATTTACACGTCACCCTTTGAATAGAAGATTTAATATTTGCCTCTCATTTTTGACACAAAAATTCAAAATTAAATCCGCACTTATTTAATTAAAATAATTATAATGATTATGTATATATTCTAAAACAATTGAACCCATTAAAAGTTCTAAAAATTATTTTGTAATAATAATTTATTAAAATTTGTTATTATAAAGTTGATTTTAATCCATCCATCTCAACTAGTTTTACTGGGCTCTTAATTTTGAGTATGGTAAATATTTACCCTCCTTTGTTTAAACTAGTTAATCATCCTCCCTTCTAAAACTAGAGCAACACCATAATTATAAGTGTCCAAGTGTGATGGAAGGATATGCTTCTGCACCAAATAGATTTCACTCGTAATGATAGTCTATTTAAACTAGGATAATGCATCACATTAACCTAATTAAACAATGACAAAAGATAAAATAAAATAATAATGCAACTAAACAACAAACTATCACTTAATCAACACAAAATTACAATTAAATTATGGTCTTGATTCAATTTTTGTCAAATTTGTAAATAGTTTCAACATTTGGGTATTTTTTCTATGTTTGCGAACACTATTTTTTTAAGGTTAAAACCAAATTGAAAATAATTTAATGACATTTAGGTATATTTAGCCAAAATTAAGATGATTTTAGAAACAATTTTCATAAAGTCTCTTATGTATAAGAATTAGCAAATTATATCCACTAATGAAGAAAATATCTAAGTTCAGTTACAAACAAAATGACCATGATACCCTTTTCTCATAATTATTAAAAAAAATAAAAAAGCATATGGTCCTTGTCAAACCTATTTTTCATTAAGCTGAAAAGTATTCATATCTAAATACCTAAATCTAAGAGTATGGCTTAAAATTCAACCAAGCCATGATGGTTAAGGAGAATCCCAAATAGTGGAACTAAGTTTTTATTATGCGAAAAATTTTATTATAAGATTCATCATTTACATTTTAAATATGATGATCATATGAATAATGAGATATATAACATACCCACATATGAATAATGAGATATATAACATACCCACAATGACATGTACCCTAAATGTTCAATTCTCTTTAGCTGAATTTAATACATATGTGATAGTAATATAATCATTTAATTTATAGCAATTAAATAAAAATTCACTAGAACAATCTAACACAATTAATGGTCATTTCACATTATCATCAAACCATAAATGCTACAAATAGCTCCATCTAGCATAGTTTTCCAAAAATTAAAGTTTAACCAACAAAAGAAAATAACTAGCCAAATAATTTGGTTGATTTTTGAAGAGAAATAATGTCTATTTTTTTTTTAATCTCCCAGAAATTCAGGAAATCTCAACTTATAAGGGAAAAAAAAAAGAATTTAAATAATTTAGGTCAAACCAAATCTTAAATCTTTTAAAAATCAACTTTATTTAAACAATAGGCTCTCGTATTTTTAGACTCATTTCACGCCAAAAACGAATTTTCAGTTTTGGTTCACAGGGAATCATTTTAAACCTTATAGGTTTAGGTTTGAACAAAAAAAAAAAAAAAAAACACTTTTAATAAAACCACAATTTTTATCCAAATGGAAACACACAGTCAATATTTAAATTTTCAAATCAAATATCGTTTTTATCAAAACAATAATATTTATACTTTTTTTTTGTCCAATATTACACATTGAAAAAAAAAAAAAAAAAACCCATAAAGACAATATTTTCCTTCTTAAATTAAATCGAAATAGCAGAGTAATAATTGAATTTCATTCATAAAATAGTAATAGTTGAATTTCTTAGCGACAGACAAGCTTCCTTTGTAAAAAAAACATTAATTTAGGTGTAGATAAAAATGAATATTTTAATTATTTTACTTTGCTTCATTTAATTTATAAAAACAAACAAATTTAAATTATATATATTTTAAAACAACATTATATTAATTTTTAATTTATTTATTATTACTTATAATAATAATAACAGTAATACATGATGTTGTAAAATATTAATTTGACAGAAATGGAAAATTAAAAGATTTATAACCATTGTGAAAACAATTTTTATAATTGAAGAGAGATATATTATACACAAAAGTGTTGAATTTAAGGTAATATATGAATAAAAGGAAATGATGATGAAAATGGTAAAAACAAAATGTGGGTGTGGGTGGTGAATGGCATTTGCATTTATAAGAGGAAAAATTAAATGTGATAAAGATATAATGATTGGTTTGCATATAAAGAAATCAAGAAATAAAGAAATAAATAAAGAAATAAAGAAATAAAGAAATAAAGAAATAAAGAAATAAAGAAAGAAATGCATGATGCATGGTGATGGTTCATTCATGCATGGGTGATGGGAAAGGACATGGATGGGCATTTTAGGAATTTTGAAAAGTTTGGTTGGGTGTCCCTCAAATATGTTGAGGGCGAGGGGAAAAGGGGAGGGGAAGAGGAAGACGGAATTTCATCTCATCGGTCATTTCTGGGATGCTGTGCCACTCCCATCTCCACCGCAATCCGACGATCTGATTCTGAGCAGCCCACGTACACACGCCCCTTCCTTCTCTCTTTCTTCTACGCCTCTCTGTCTGTTTACCAAGCATCGCCCCCCCCCCCCCCCCCCCCCCCCCCCCCCCCCCCCCCCCCCCCCCCCCCCCCCCCCCCCCNCCCCCCCCCCCCCCCCCCCCTAACAACCCATTAACATTTTCTCTCTTGTTTTTTTCATAGCAACAACACCACCCCTTCCTTTTCTTAATTCGCGCACAGGGGTTTTCCTTTTCTGTTCGATCCTCTTCAATTTTGCTTCTGCTCCCTCACTTCGATCTCCTGCTGCCTTCACTCCTTTACCAATGGAAATGTGTTAGATACATAACCCCTGCCCTCCCCTCAGGTAACACCCACCCCCCACTTCTTTCCCCGCTTTTTCTTTTTTCTCCTTTCTGATCATACGATTCAATTGATTTTCAGAATAACACTGCAAAACAACCATCTTTTCACCACAACTCTTTCTCTTATCATGGCGGTTCCTGAGAATGTTGGACCCAAAATCGGTTCTCCAAGTCAAACTTTGGAAAATACCATGGTTTCCTCCGATTCTAATGACCCCAACGATGTTGAGACTCAGAAGCCCAACAGCGATTCTACGGTCCCCATGAATGGAGAACCCGACTTTCATTCCAACGGCAGTGATCACGATGTACAGAAGAAGGCACAGCTCAAGGAGAGACCAGCTACCGCTGCTTCCTTTTCACTTCCTTCAGCCAATTTCAAGCCTCAAATGCCTCAGATGCCCAACGGGTTTGAAGCTAATGCCCAGACGCTGATGGTGAAGTCTGCTGCCGGGTATGGGATGAATCAGAGGCCTAACGGAGTGATAAATGGAGCGGATGGAGGAGAAAACTTTAAGAGGGACATGAGCGATCTGGAGGACTTACTATCCAAATTGAATCCCATGGCTGAGGAGTTTATCCCTCCTTCGCTTGGTAAAAATTTGTCTGGTTACTTCGGCGCTGGTGGGCTTGGGTATACTAACGACTTTCTATTGCAAGCTAATTCTGTCAACAACGAAGGGCATATGAATCGAAGGGTATGTGGGGATTTTGGATGATTTGAAAGATGTCGAACTGTTATTTATACTATTACTAAACTTTGAATGCCGTGCACTTAACGCTTTGATTTCTGTACTACAAAAACCCTTAGACTACATGATGGTTTTGTAGGGTCGGGTGTTGGATTTTTTGAACATTCAAGTGTTTTTTTCAGTTTGTAGTGCTGTTAACCTGCTAGAAGTGCAGCTTGATTATGTATTATTTGATTGCACATTTTAGCACCAATAGATTTTAGAGAAATCTATTTTGTGTTGAATGAATCTACTATTGATTTGGTTTCTCTTGTTTGTTTCCTTTATTCTTTTCGCTTAGAAGAAGAATGGTTTTAGCCAAGGGAGACGGAGGATGAATAATAAGATGAATGCGGTGAAGAGGGATGAGATGACCCGGAGGACGGTGTATGTATCAGACATCGATCAGCAGGTAAGAGACCTCCATTTCCAAAACTCCCTTGATTATATGCCTTGCACTTCTCCTTTTTGACCAATCCATTTTTGGATCATGGAATTGCAATGCAGGTGACTGAAGAGCTACTTGCTACTGTCTTTGCTGGCTGTGGAGAGGTAGCGGGTTATTCTCTTTCCTTTCATTTGATCCTTTTTTTTTTTTTTTTTTTTTTTTTTTTTT